GCGCGCATTTGCCAAAATGAATTCTGCCCCACTGCTTAATGTCCCTGAAAAGTTACATTTGTTTTTAAACCACAATGCTTAAAATGCGTTTAAATGAAAAGCTTAACCTACATCATGCCACGCAAAACGATTGATAGGCTATATTTCTACCGGTTTATCTCTCAACCCATAAGCGAATACTTTGTTCAAACACAAAAAGCAATATACATTCATCAAGTTGTTTACTTGTTAATCAAACTAACCTAACATCTGTGGGGACGATGACGCTGTGTTTTTATCTGCTCCATGTGCCCGGTCCACTTGCTGTTTCACAACTTCCACTCCATCATCAGCTTTAGTAAAATAACCTGATAGCTAGGAATTTTACTGACAATCTAACTCATGCTTTCCCCTCTCTCCTTTTTGTTTTTAGAATAGCCCCTCACTCACTTTCTTTTAGAATAGTTTACATTTTTACTTATGGAAGATTGTTCTTTGCATGACCATTTCCAGATTATGCCAGAACGAAGTGAAGAGAGGAGAATGCAGACATTGCAGCGATCACCTGATTGATATGTGGCGCACGGGTCGTTCAAAAGTAAAAATATAGAATAAATGCATTTGATTGGTAAACCAAATTCAAACGTTACGTTTTAATCTCTAAAGGTTATGCATGGAATATATGGAAAAGCTCCACTAAATAATAACGCTAATATGTGAGGGGCGGGGCTTTGGCAATCGGCGCTACCGATGACCAGTCAAAATACCCCACAGCCAATCACGGGTCCCCTCCTTGTCCGGCCTAGCCCAATGGTTAATGCGGCCCTGCAGATCACTATATGAATTGTACCTATGAAAAGTGAGGAGTCCCCCAGACTCATTACACTTGGTAGGGATGCCATGATCAGTCCTGGAGGGGCAGCAGAGGATCCTGAAACTCCATGCAGGGAAGTGAGAGTACTGACTGGAGGTAAGGAGCCACCACCAGATGCCTAAGAGAGAAAATGGAAACTTTGCCTGTCAGGTTCTGAAATGTATAGTAAAATACATTTTTTGCCTTAAATGTATAGTAAATGGAAAATTTTAAATTCTGTCATCAATTAAGGAAGATTTAAAAGTCTCAGTGTTTTTGTCCATTAAAATTAAATTTGGTGGAGTCCAGTGTTGTTTTGGACCCCACTTACTTTCATTGTGTGGACAAAAACAGGTCTGTGAAATATCTTCTTTTGAGAGAGTCATAAAGGTTTAGCAAATAAGAAACAATGAAAAAAAAAATGAAATGGTGCTTTTAAATGTGAAAAACTGCCACTAGGTGGCGGCAAGTCAGTGTCTTATCGAGTTAGTCATTGAACCATTCGATTTATTCAAAAGAAACTAATTCATTCTAAAAACGAATTAAATAGACTTTATGAATGGGTTATTGAATCATTCACTCAAGCCATTCGTTCAAACACAGATTCATTCAGAAACTAAACAACGCTATGTGTTGCGAGGACTCTGTTATCCATTTGGTTTTTTTTCTTCGGTAAAATACAGCAAAAACAGACAATACTGTATTTTAATTGTAAGTCACTTAATGGTAACTTTCATAATTAGTAAAACGAAGTGTCTATTTACACTGAGTGCAAATAACCCATCTTGTTGGAAGAGGCTATTTGCGCTAACAAGGTGATAATTATTTATGACGCGAGCAACCTGAGTTCGAATCCGCCTTTTGCCAAACTCATTCTTCTCCCTTTTCACAGTTCTTATCACATCGGAAAGGCATTTATTTTCAATAAAAATCAAGGAAAAAATCAAAAAGTTGAAAATAAATTGTCGGGTAGGGCTAAGATAGGTGTAGGGAGGGCTTTATTTTCCCAATGAGGCTAAATCCATTTAATAATTCTAATAAAAATGATCATTTACACATAATACGTTATTATTGCATGCTGTTTTATAATTTACTACAATACTGAGGTGCAGATATTTGCCATTGTTTGCAATAAGTAGTATAAATAGCAGAAAATACTGCAATTTTTACATAGTGTAAATAGAATCTACCGCTATACACTTAGTGCAATTAGCCACAGTTTAAATTAATAACTTAATTTCCGACCTTCTTACCGTTATTATGAGATAAAAGCAATCAGTCAGTGATCACTTAAAATCTCACTGTTTTATGGTGATATGTGTAAAGTAGTGTAATCTCACTGGTTTGTGATGGTGTGTATCCAGCAGTGTATGACTGGGTTCTAGTTGGACAGGACTGGCTAGACGACCGCCGCCACCTTGGTCTTCACCACTGGAGCTTCTAACTGTGCCCAGACTCTCACAAACCACTGACTGGTTGTACTTCAGAACTGGCTGGCTGTACTTCAGAACTTCAGGATATCAACAAAAGAGAAAGGTGGGTAAAACAGGTCAGATTGAGAGAGAAATCTAGGAAGAAGAATTTAAACCAACCTATTGTCATTAAAAACTGACAAAATCAGTCAACAAATGGGATAGGTATGAGCTTGATTGACATTGTACCTGGTGAAGGACTGGATGTTAGTGTCTGGCCTGTGGAGGGAGCTGATTGGCTGCTGTAGGGCACGTCCAGTGCCAGTTTGTGGCGAAATGCCTCCTCTTTACGCCGATTTGCAAACCAATTGTATACACGAACCTCTGTAACCAAATTAGAGCCTAGGCCAGCCAGCTGAGATGGAGAAACTCCCCTCTGAAGACACTCCGCTCTAAAACACATATACATTCAACAGGTATTATGTCATACCTTTAAAAACATTTTGAGTTGGTGCCCAGTTCACTTCTTACCTGTTGCACTCCTCCACCAGTCCCTCCCTCTCCTCCTTACTGGGGTTTTTCTGTCGTTCATAGGCCTGAAACAGGATTTGTTGGGATGCTGGGCCCCATTTGAATCGATTCCTCCGTCCCTTTCTTACATCATCCCCGGATTCCTCTCCTGACACAACACCTCGACTGGCATTGGTGAATTCTGCATTGATCAGGGTGAGAGAATCATTAGTGTAGTTCTTAAAGATGAATTCAAAAAGAGAAATAAGAAATGGCCATACTCACGCTGGTTGATCTCTGCCTTTTTCTTGACGTACCAGCTGTACAGAGCAGCTCGCTTTTGATTCTTCATGGGTGTGCCCTTGTTGAGGTGCTGGGAGAGATGGGATTGGTTGAGGCCAGTGGACTCCACCACCTCTCTCTGTGGTAGGTTGTGCTGCTGCATATAGCTTTTTATCATTTTAGCCATGTGCCAAGGATCCTCTCTAACACACACCAATACATGAATACATATAATAGGAATTTCTGAATATTTCCAAACAAGTTCTTATGAAATCACATGAAGAACATGATACTTACTACTGAATAATTCTCAGGAAATGGTGCCATTTGTGTTTGAGAATTTCTTTTAATTAATTACATTTCAAGAGTCATACTTTCCCATGATTTTCCAGGTGATTTTGAGCCCCAAATATGTGGTTATGGCCTTGCAAAATTGGCTATATTTATTTAAACTAAGACACAGTAAGTAAATTCATATTATATACAGTATTCAAACGTTTGGGGTAGGATTTTTTTAAAGAAATTATCAATTTCATTCAGCAAGGAATCGGATGCAATAAATTGATCAAACATGATAGTACAGATATTTATAATGTTACAAAAATGACTACTTTAAATAAATGCTGTGTTTTAAACTTTCTAGTAATCAAAAAATCTTGAAAAACAAGGTTCAACAAAAATATTAACTGTCTTAAACATTGGTAATAATAAGAAATGTTTATTGAGCAGCAAATCAACATATTAGAATGATTTCTGAAGGATCATGTGACACTGAAGGCCAGAGTAATGGTGGTGAAAATTCATCTTTGCAATACAGAAGTAATTTACATTTTAACATACATTGAGATAGAAAACAGTTATTTTAAATGGTAATAAATAATTGCTCAATAATAAATTAAGACCAATGAAGAAATGTATCTCATTTTGAGACCTTGTCAAATAAAATGGATGATTTCATTCCATTAAGTATGATGTCAGGAACATAAAAATGTCTTTAATATAAGCATAATATTTTAATTTCAGTTCGAATTTAGCTTTTAAGAAATGAGTCCTTTAAAATGTAATTGTGATGGTTAGGCTGCAAAGTGGCAGATATTGGAATTTTAAAACAATATATTAATACATTATTATAGCTTCTTAAAAATATATATATTCTAAGTAAGAGATAAAACATATTTTATGTTATAAATAAAAGTGTCATGTGAAAGTATTCTGTTAATTATATCAGTAGACAAACACATAGTACACTAATGGCACTGTTTCCTGAAAATACCAAATTTTTCCTAATTAAATTTATTTTTTTTACTTTTTATTAAGGCTATTTAAAAAAATGTTTTGGAAGAAGGGTGAGGGGGAAGAGAAAGGATAGATAATACAGAGGTAGAGAGGGTGCAATGTTTACACTGTAAGATAAGGCAAGAGACAAGGGGCCAAAGTCCAGTAAAAGAGATTGCAAATAACCCTCTTGAATTCAACGCAAGCACACAAAGCCTTACTAACACACAAACATATCCAACAGTAATGCATTTCACCTATACAAATCACTCACAAATTCCTTTTGAGGTTTAAATAAAGTGCATTACAATTCCATTTGTTATCTCTATTCAAAGAGCCACACATTTAGAAAACAAAACTCCCCTCACAACAGTACTATCTTTACAATATCACCACAGTCATGTGTGCAGAAACATACACACACACACACTGTGTCACTCTGTTAATTTTCTAACCAGTCGATGTAGCTCATTTATTAAAAAGTTTGAAATGGCCAGAGAATAATGAATAGGGTGGGTAATTAGTAACTAAAAAAGGTGGAACCTCCTTTATATTCACCCCATCAGTTGGGAAGCAGAGCACTAGAGGAGAGAGGAAGCCAAAGAAAAGGAATAGAAGAAAGAAGACCTGACATGAGCTAGAGAAAAGGTTTAATCAAGAATTTGTGGAGTAAAATAGGAAGTTGAGAAGATGCCAATGGTGGATTTTAGATGATGTTTCTTTAGAAGAACAACATTCGAGGCACTAAAGTCATATTAGACATTTCTGATTGTGTGTTTTGAATGAAGCTCGGATTGATTGATCAGAAGACACCATACTTACTGCAACAGCTGGTCCACTTCAGCTCTCTGCCTCGCGGCCTCCTCTGGCGGTAGCCTCTCCAGCTCATGGAAGATAGGAGGTGGATTGTCCATGTCTCCCTCCTCCGAGCTCTCGCCATCAGCCCGATCCATCTTCTCTGCACCGGCCGAGGCCCGTTCTCGCTCCAGATCTCCCATGGCCTGGATCAGCAGCTCTTTTGACAGCCCTGATCCCAGCAGAGACCACACCAGCTGCTCCTGTAAGGCCGACAGCCGGCTGCTTCGTTCTCCTCCTGCTCTTCTCCCCTCTCCTCCCTCCATCTCTTGCATTCGGAGGTGTTTAAGCAGCCGTGTTTTGTCTATAATTTGCTCACAGAAGCTATGTCCGTGTCACTGAAGCAATTACCAACACACTCTTTGTGTGCAAACAGATGTAGACACACGGCAAAACAATATCACACACATTCAATATTCACCTCTGTCTTTGAGTTCAGTAGTTTGTCTTTCACATGAACAGCTTGTTTTCATTTTCTTTGTCGTTTTCTTCTCTTCGTTTTCCAGCGTTCTTCTGTTTCTGCTCCTGTATTAAATCTAGACACCTGTTGTCCTTTTGCTTTGAAATGGGATTTTTTGCTACTTGCTTTTCCCTTCATCCCCTCCTCCCTTACTCTGTTGCTCTCTCTCTCTTTCTCTCCCTCTCTTGGTGAACTTTAGCCTCGGCCTGTGTTGAGGGCAAAGTGTAGAGTCTAACTATTCAGTGGACACTGCAAACACATTCACCACTCACACTGTCATCTTGTTTGTCTTTTTTTTAATGAAACATTTGATTTATCCATGTTCCAGACTATTTCAGACTTGAAATAAGCAATTTAAGTATTTATTGTAAATTAAATATATGCCAGTGGATATCAACCAGGGGGCCAGGGCTCTCTAGGCCGGGGGCCTAAAAGTGACTTAAAACTTATTCAATTTAAATTAAATTTTATGTTTATTAATTTGTGAAAATCACATTTTGTAAAGTGATTTTAAAGATTGCTAGACCTGAAAATGTCATGTAAATTAATAAAATAAACAAAATGCAGTGTGTAGCTGATCCTGTGGAGCACACCACATGTAATTGTGTATTATTGTGTATTAGATCTCCTAGACCAAGGCATTTTTTAAATGTTTGAGTTGTTTTCTCTCATTATCTATTCAATGCGATTTTACATCTGTGTCTGTTCATGTGACATCAGAGGCTGAGGTGTTGATAAAGACCTCCCACTTCCTGCCTCTCTGAATATCTCAACCTAACCCACACCTGTATTCACATGTAATGGACAGTGTCCCTGTTTTTCACTCCATTTGCAAATAATTGTATTCATATGAACTGCTATCATCATGCATATCTCAAAATTAAAATTTAAAACGCACAAGCAATCACAAAGTGGGACATATCAGAAATGAGACAAGGCTATTCATTAAACTCTGTATTGTGTAGTTTTTTAAACTTGAGTGCTCCATAAAATATTACCATACGATCACTTTACAACTGCAGTTATTGTCACTGTTTCTGAGACTATGCTAGTGAAAATATGACTATGACAGACTCCAGATAAAGGTCCTTTAGCATTGTCTGTAAAAAATGCAGTACACCTGCACTGTACAACTGGAAAAATATATCTAAAAAGAGAAAATATTTTTCTATTTGAAAATGTAATTTATTCCTGTGATGCAAAGCTGAATTTTCAGCATTATTACTCCAGTCTTCAGTGTCACATGATCCTTCAGAAATCATTCTAATATGCTGATTTAGTGCTCAAGAAACATTTATTATTATTAATGTTGAAAACAGTTGCTGCTGAATATTTTTGTGGAAACCCTGATCTTTTTTTATTTGATGAATAGAAAGTTCAAAAGAACAGCATTTATTTGATATAGAAATCTTTAGTAACATTATAAATGTATTTACTGTTAATTTGATCAATCTAGTGCATGTTTCTGAGTAAAACTAGCAAAATCTTACTGACTACAAAATTTTGAATGGTAGTCAAGTTCCTTACATGTCCAACCAGGATTTGGTAAATTATGTGCATCGCATGACCTAATGTTAATATTTGAGTACTTGACTTGAGCAGTGTTGGATGCTCAGCATACAATCTGAAACTTTTTTTTTGTCTTGAATTATCAATCAACACTGAAAATGCTTCATGTTCAGTATGTGAGCCCTTCCATATTTAAATTGATTGAATTTAAAACACCTTATTGAGACAACATGTCTCAAATAATTGAGAAGAAACAATACACTGGCAACAGGAACAGAGAGAAACAAACTATTGGACATGTATATACAATGCAAAAAAAATGTAATATATAGAACTGTAATTATACACTATTTACATTTTTACAGTCATACCTTTTTCTCACAAATGGCACCCATAAGTTAATAAATTGAATTTACATGCTGAAGTGCATAGTGTTCCATATAACATCAGCCACTCTGAATTACAGTAAGCTTCTGCTGAAGCACCATTGTCACAGAACAATGGGAATCATTAGCAATTCTTAAAAAACAGCGAACCATCCAGGGAACATTCACACCAGGTGTTAGTGGACTGAATGGACAGAGATTTTATGGCCACAAAGAACTTGTGAAGGGGGAGCGCTAGGGATTGACAGTGTTTGGCTGGACACAGAAGCAGTTTCCAAATGTATTTGCTTAAACACCGTTTAGTACGGCTGAACATGTCTTGCTATCTGTACGTCAGAGCGATAAAGGGTGCATGTTCTAGATGTACACCATAATCTTGACAGGGCTGTGCGATATTATCCAATAAGCTGCAGTGTAATGCCAGTCCCAGCTCTAAAGTGGGCCGCAGGGGGGCCTCACCATCCCTGCTCTCATTCACCTCCCCCCACACTACAGGCACTGTGTCTTGAAGGGATGGGGGTCTTTGCTTTTGAGCAACGACCCCTGGTCTGGTCAAGCCCCTCACCCAATGCATTTCCATCAGGCTTGGACCTCTGCTGGCTCCTCCAATTACCAGCTGCAGGGCCTGGATGAGGGCAAGCAGATCCACTCTCAGCTCTACGACACCATTTCTCAACCAGACTCTGTACCTTTAGAGAGAAAGAAAATATTGAGGACTTTTTTTTTCAGAAGCTCAGTAATTTCTTGGAGTGTGCCAACAACATTCTCACTTCATCTATCAAGTTCCTCTGTCTCACCTAGTAGGGAACCCTCGTTTCTCCAGCGAGGGCAGCACGGGTTGGATGTTGAGGTGTTGGGGGTTTGAAAAGTGAAAATGAACTTCCGCTTTCTCCAACGGTGCTGACAGCACATCCTCTCCGAGCAGAAACTCAATGTTGTAGTCTTGACAAGTAAGAAAAGGACACATGATTAGGGATACTGCTGTCACATAAATATACCTGCTGTAAAATCGTGAATTACCAGATTCATGATTTAGGTTTACGCTGGTTTGGTGCTGGTCTAACTTTGCAAGTGAATTTTTGACAGACATTTTCAAGATGCAGTCTGTTGAGGTTCCTCTTAGCAAAGCAAAATTGTCTTTTAATGTCCCTAACAATAAATATATTTTGAACAAAACACCATACATAATTTTAGGTATATTTGTGATGTTGTGTGCTACATTTTAATTACAGTAATTTTTGTCGAAAACTCTTTCCATGCTGAAGAAAAGAAAAAGAAAAAAAGCTGGTTGGCTGGTTTTAACTGGTCTTCCAACCTGGTCGTAGCTGGTTTGAAGGCACTTATTTAGCTGGTCAGAGTGGGAGACCAGCTGACCAGCTAAAACCAGCTGAACACTAGCTCGACCAGGCTGGGAGACCATCTTGGCCAGCTTAAACCAGCTAAGTCCAACAAACCACTATAGTTGGTTTTAACAGTGTCTTTTTCCCCCACAAAATAAATTCGCTCGGGCGCTACTGTTGCTATGGTTACCTCAACACTACTTCTGTTTAATTGCCCTAATTAAATTTACGGTTTATTAGCAAAACGGCTGGTAAAGCTGGTTGACCGACAGTTTTTTGCAAGCTAAGCCTGATGGGATCACCAGCATCCCATGTTGAGGACCAGCATCACTTTTTCAACAAGGTGTCGGAGCAGAGAGCTACTTACCCCCAACTTTTCCGCCTTGTATTCCCTTGACACTTCCACAATGGTAGCCCACTTGACAACAGCGATAAACCCGTCTGACGAATCTGAAGAGGGGTTGTTCTGGGAAAACAGCACGACGTGGACCATCACTCATCGTCGATTGTATCTTCAGACGGTACATCTGGCCCCAGTCGCCAAGCGGAGTGGTGCTCTCCGTCCACGGGGCGCTCAGGAGGGCGCAGTGGTCGTGCTCGGATACAGGTTCGCGACGGCTCCGTCTCTGTCTCTGGACGTGTCCGATACGGATTTTACGCTCTCCTTGAAACGATGTCACCTTGCGAAGCTGTGTACGAAGCGATCGGCACTGTACTCCTATAGCAATAGTCATGAAAGCGAGGACCAGCAGTGAAACTCGTGTGCGCGTAATCGTGGCCATTTCAAATATCCACATATATTGCGCTCCGGAGATCTCCACTATACGAATGAGAGGGTAAATCCTGCTCTGACAATAAGCGCAGTTTCTTCTGTGGAATTTGAATTCTGGCTTCTGTTGGACTCTCCTCCCCCAGGGTTTGTTTGGGACCCTTAAGCAGCCATTCGCACACCCATCGACCTTTTAAATGTGTCTGCATAATGAGGCGCCCAGAGCCCTGCCAGTCCAGGCCATTCTTATTCTCACTCCTAATGACCCTCATTACAGAGCATCTGCACCATCACCAACACCAACAAGCTGCTCATTTGCAAGAGAAACAACTTGGACCAAGGGAAGCATACAACTTTCCCAAACTGCCCTATCCTGACAATAGCTCCACAACCAACAGAGAGGTAATCTGGGATATAGAAACAATTCATCTGGGTGCACATACACTGACCCTAAGTAGTATTTGGATACTTAAGCTACACTTTGCAATTCATACTTATACAAATGTATGAATTTAATTACATAGATAACAATCAACCAAGTAGCTTTTCTCACAATTAACTTAAAGTTAGAAGTTAATTTAACCAGGTAGTTTCAGTGTGATTTTTACTGGATGAAGTAAGTTTTCCTCAATTTCGCACAGGTCCTATCAGAGAACCACAGGTGTAGCTCACATTTACTGTAAACACGACTGGTGAATGTTTGACAACCAAAAGGTGTCTAAATGTCTATATGTTGAATGAGATATCTAGTGTTTTATCATTTACAATCAAATTTATGTGAAATATTTTGTCTAAAAAGCGTGTAAACATTTTAAGGGTTAGTTCACCCAACAATCTGTTTTCATTTACTCACCCTCATGTCGATCCAAACACATAAGACTTTAGTTTTTCTTCCAAAAAACAAATGAAGTAAGTTTTAATAAAACCTGAGAGAGTTCTGCGCCTCTAAGGAAAGACCATTACACCAAAACTTTGAAGCTTCAAAAAGTTAATAAAGAGATCGTGGAAAATATTCAATATGAATTAAAAGGTTTAACCCAAGTCTTCTGAAGAGACATGGTTGCTTTTTTATGATGAACACATTTAATTTAGGCTTTATTCACATTTACATGTCGATCAGCACACAGATCACATCAAATATATAACAGACGTACTTGTTTGATGCACAAAAACAAACATCAATAGTTCTTGTGTGTCAAGCACATACAATAACATTTGTGAAAGCTTTGGGAGAATAATGAGAGAATATTAAAAATATCTTCATTTGTGTTCCCACGATAAAAGAAAGTCTTAAGGGTTTAAAGTGAAGGAGGAGGTGAGTGAATGATTGCAGAATATTCATTTTTGGGTGAACTATCCTTTTAGGCATCCAAATACTTTTTCAGCCACTCTCTAAATATTTCTGCATGTGCAATTATTTCATATATCTAAACCCTTCTAACAGAATATCTAACAGGTTTACTAAACGACATTTATTAACACTCAAGCACACTTTTGTTCCATTTTAAAAAGGTGGCAGTTTCAACAGCTATACACATCTACCTTTAACAGTAACACTGAATGGCCTCAGCCATTTTTTAAAGCCTCAGTTCTCTATTCCACTGAAACAGCAAAGGGCTACAGCAGAACCTGTCTCTCAGGATGGAGACACTTCCTATATATTTTAGTATTACTTGGAATGACGGTATATTATCAATTTCAGCCTCTACTTTTTAATTACAAAATGAACAAACAGCAGCCTATTATATAAACAAAAAGCCTTAATTACATTCCGAGTAGTACGAGAGATATATAAATATGGTGAATATCTATTAAATTACACTGAAAATTTTTTTTCACTCATCCAATTAAAAAAAATGTAGGGTAATGATTCACATCTATATTTTTTAACTTGAGCCAATGAAAAATAAATAACTTGCCCTTATGGCAAGTTATTTATTTTTCATTGGCTCAAGTTTAAAAATATAGATGTGAATCATTACCCTACATTTTTTTAATTGGATGAGATATAACAGGAATTAAAATCTTTAAAAAAAGAGCCCAGCTAAAGCAGGTTAAGTCCATGTTTAAGGAGCCGCAGACGGGCTTTTCTGGGTAGTGAGAAAGCACTGTCCTGAGGATCAGGACTTCCAGAGTTTCTGACAGGTGTTCCCTGCTGGAGAAAATATGTCTCCTGGGCCATGCTACAGGTTCCATACACTGCCGAGCTAGCGTTCCTGTAATTCAGGACATAAACACAATGCTTGCATAACTGAAATGTGCTTAAATGATTTTAACACTTATGTTTGAACTGTTCACAAACAGATAATTAACAAATTAATTCACAAATTAATCAAACAGGATATACATGTGAAATATTGTCAAAATACACATTTAATGATGAAAACGGCTGAACAGGCATTCACACACACACACACACACACACACACACACACACACACACACTCTAACCTGACAATAGCCTCCTGTAGTGTGTCTAAGTGTGAGAAATGTGAATGGACCAGCTTAGTGGCCTTCACAAGGGCCTGATCCTGGGGTCCAACGGAGCGCCCACATACATTAGCTACACATCAAATTAAAAGTCAAACTATTTCAAGAACAAAGAAAATACACAATCATTTGTTACCATTTTGACTGAATTGACTAAGATTTTATAATGTTTATATGAAACAGGACTTACTAGTCAGAGTGTTTTGAATGCAGTCATAGTGAGCAAAGGTGTAGGGCCCGGGTGGGCCTAGTGTCCCAGGTGAGGTATTTCTCAAGTGAGCCTCAAGCCCATTTAATGATGCCAAGCTGCTGTGATGCTGCAGTTGTAGTAGAGAATACGTTTATGACAGAAGAAACAGCTCTTGGGATTTTTAATTCTTCTAAAGGGATAGTTCACCCAAAAAAATCATTAATTACTCACCTTCATGTCTTTCCAAACCTGTAAGACCTTCAGAAAATGCTGAGAGAAGTCATTATTTTTGTTTTCTTTAGGCACAAAAAGTATTGCCATAGCTTCATAACATTACGGTTGAACCACTGATGTCACATGGACTATTTAAACAATCCAGGATAACGAGTATGAAACATGCTCCGAGTTGCTTCAGAAAACAAAAAAATAGAGCAACAACAAAAGCATGTTGCTGGAAATGGGTTTATTATTGAAAATGCAAACTGATTGTGTGCCAGCAGGAGGCGCCGTGAGAGCGGTGGAACTAACGGTTTCTCCAGTAATGGCTGTAAACAAAGCAGCTCCGCTCATGAAGCTACTTTATCAGATGAAAATGCCATCTAAACTATTCTGAAGACAGTCGGTTCCTTTCAGAGATACATTCATATAAAACACCCGCGACGCGTTTTGATTTTGAAACGTGCAGTGCTCATGTTTATTCAACGAAGTCAAACGCCACAAATAAATAAATGTATGGGAAACACTGGTAATGTATATCGAAATATCGGAAATGTGTTTAAAAATCATATCACCGTTATTGAAAAAAATTATATCGCGATACATATTGATATTGAATTATTGTCCAGCCCTATGACAGAATTTTCATTTTTGGGTTAACTATCCCTTTAAGTGTGTCTCAAAGTTTCAATGTTCACCAAGGATGCATATGGCATCAAAAATACAGTTAAATTTTGCTGAATAAAAGCATTAATTTCCTTTAAAAAAAATCATACTGACCCCAAACCCCAAAATATATATTGGGGGTTCACACACTCATTAAAATTCATGCAATTAAAATAATAGTTCACCCCAAAGAATGAAAAATTGCTGAATATTTACTGACCTTCAGGCCATCCGAGATCCTCTGCAGTGAATGGGTGCCATCAGAATGAGAGTCCAAACAGCCTATATAAACATCAAAATAATCCACAAGTAATCCACGCGACTCCAGATTCCATATGACAGTGGACTTTGATGTGAGAAGACAACAGGGGATGGACGTTTTCATTGGAGGAGTTGTTGTTAAAATTTAATGGTTTAAAATGAACAAAGCCTTAATGATGGATTTGTTTTGAGTCGTGGATTACTTGTGGATTATTGTGATGTTTTTATCAGCTGTTTGGACTCTCATTCTGACGGCACCCATTTACTGCAGAGGATCCAAGTGATGTAATGCTAAATTTCTCTAAATCTGTTCTGATGAAGAAACAAACTCATCTACATCTTGGATGGCCAGAGGGTGAATACATTTTCAGCAAATACTCATTTTTTTGTTAAGTGTTCCTTAAATATGCATGATATATTTTGAACAGACACAAACTCATTTTTCTTACCACTTCCTCTCTGGCAGAGGGGTCTGTGTTGAACTCAGGCTCCACCAGCAGGGCCAACACCAAACCTTTGACTCGATGCTGGTATAATACCGATGGCACTAGAGAGGTGTCTGCTAGGGTCTCATGTGGTGAGGGGGTGTTTGTGGGTTCATATTTCTCCTTGAGTTTCCTATTGACTTGCTTGCTCTTTGTTTTTTCCTCTTCCTCTGTTTGTCCTTGGAATTTTGCATTTTTATTGGTCACATGATTGTTAGCATCCAGTTTATTTTCTTCACTTTTAATATGGTTGTCAAGGTCAGAATGGTTGTCAAGACCGTTCGACTGCTCATACCCATTGGCGAGGGCTTTGATTTCTTCACTCTGAATGTCCTGATCTGAATTTAAACCTTCGCTTTTGGTTTCTGACCCCGAGCTCGCATCTACATCCTGCTTTATGTTCAGGCCTGCCAAGCTTTCTTCCACCGCACACAAGTTAGTCCCGTTAGAAGTGTTGTGGTCATGTGAGTCAGGAGTGAAATACTCTGATTGGTTCATGAGATTGGAGTGAATGGGAGTGTTAACCCGTGAGGGAGAAGGGCTGAAACACAGTTCATCAGAGAGTGAGGAGCGAGGAGAAGATGGCACTGTCTGATAGGATGTTGGGGGATAATGTGTGGGATCTAAGCTTGAAGAGTCAGTATCTGTGGTTGGGGTGTCAGATAAAGTGTGCGACAAGAGGTGGGACTTGCTGGGTTGGCAGGGAGGTTGATTGCAGTGAGACCTAAGAATGAGAATATATATATAAATACCAATGAATATGTAAAGACACCACTGTTCAAAGGTTTGGAGTCAGTAAGATTTTGTTAAAAAGAAACCAATACATTTATTCAGCAAGGACACATTGAATTGATCAAAAGTGACAGCAAAGACATTTATAATGTTACAAATGATCATTGAAGAATCCTAAAAAATGTGTCAC